CTCATATCATTTTTTATTATTTTTTATATTTTTTATATTTTTTATTTTTTTTATGTTTACATCTTCAATAAGTTTTAATGTGTTTTGTTTGTATTGACTCATATATTAATATGATTGTAAGTTTCTCTTAATTTTACTGTGTTTATTTCCTGTAGTCTCTGTACGCATATACATATTCAATGCATGAGTTTTATATATTTCTTCACTTTGTCAATGAGAATTTCATTCTTCCGACAATAAAGTATAATTTGATTTGATTTGATTAGACGACTCCCAAGCTGACATAACGCACACAGCTTGCAGGTCAAGAACCTTCGACTTCGACTATGTTCACACTGTAACTACGTCGTCAAGGATCAGTTATGCATACAGTTGAAGCAGATACGATGGCACAGTGACCATATTAGACGACTCTGAAGGGTATATAACGAGTACGATAGGCAAATTGAGAAACATCGACTTCATCGTTGTGCACACAATATTTCTCTATCCAATCATCTCACATGGACCCTATTGAAGCAAACAAGGTCTCAATGACCATATGAGACGACTTCCAAGCAGGTATAGCGCACACAGCTTGCAGAACAAGGAACTTTGACTTCGACTGTAACTCTGCAGTGTAGCATCTGACATGCATACAGTTAAAGCAGATATGATCGTAGTAACATAAGACGACTTTGGAGGGTATATAGCAAGTACAATAGGCATATATGAAGATACATCGACTCCATCGAAGTGCACACTCTATCCCTCGATCCTATCATCTCACGTGAATACTATCGAAGAAGACGAGTTGGCAATGCCCATATGAGACGACTCCCAAGCAGGTATTACGCACACAGCTTGCAGAACAAGAAACCTCGACTTCGACTATGTTTACACTGTAACTCTGCAGTCTAGCATCTGATATGCATACAGTTGATGCAGGAACGATTGCAGTGACCGAATGAGACGACATTGGAGGGATTATAACGGGTGTAATAGGCGAATGAAGATACATCGACTTCATCGTTGTGCACACTATATCTCTTTATCCTATCTTCTAACATGGACACTATCGAAGCAGACAAGTTCGAAATGACCATATGAGACGACTTCCGAGCAGGTATTACGCACACAGCTTGAAGAACAAGAAACTTCGACGTCGACTATGTTTACACTGTCACTCTGCAGTCTAGCATCTGACATGCATACAGTTGCAGCAGAGGTGATCGTAGTAACCATATAAAAAGACTTTGAAGGGTATGTAGTAAGTACAATAGTCAAATGAAGATACATCGACTTCATCGTTTTGCAAAACGAATCTCTCTATCCTATCATCTTATAATGACACAATCAAAGTAGACAAGTTTGCATTGACCATATAAGACGACTCCAAAGCGGGTATAACGCACACAGCTTGCAGAACAAGAAATTTCGACTTTGAGTATTTTTCATACTATAACTCTGCAGTCTTGCATCTGACATGCATACAGTTGGAGCAGATGCGATGGCAGTGACCGTATGAGACGTTTTTGAAGGGTATATAACGAGTACAATTGGAAAATGGAGACACATCGACTTCATCGTCTTACTCACTATATATCTCTATCCTATCATCTCACATGGACACCATTGAAGCAGACAAGCTAGCAATGACCATACAAGACGGCTTTCAAGCAGGTATAACGCACCCAGCTTGCAGAACAAGAAACTTCGACTTCGACCATGTTAACACTGTAACTCTGCAGTCTAGCATCTGACATGTATACAGTTGACGCAGATACGATCGCAATGACCATATGAGACGACTCCGAAGGGTATATAGCGAATACAACAGGCAAATGGGGATACAATGACTCCATCGTCGTACACACTATATATCTCTATCCAATCATCCTACATAGACACTTTCAAAGCTGACAAGTTCACATTGACCATATAAGACAATTTCCAAGCGGATTCAACGCACACAGCTTGCAGAACAAGTAACTTCGACTCTGACTTCTTTTACCCTGTAACTCTGCAGTCTTGAATCTGGCATGCATACAGTTGATACAGATACGATCGCAATGACTATATAGGACGACTTTGAAGGGTATATAGCGAATACAACAGGCAAATGGAGATACATCGACTCCATCGTCGTACACACTATATCTCTCTATCCTATCATCTCATATGGACACTAATGAAGCAGACAAGTTCACACTGACCATATAAGACGATTCCCAAGCGGGTATGACGCACATAGTTTGCAGAACAAGAGACTTCGACTATGTTCACACTGTAACTCTGCATTCTAGCATCTGACATGCATACAGTTGAAGCAGATATGATCGTAGTAACATAAGACGACTTTGGGTATATAGCAAGTACAATAGTCAGATAGTGGTACATCGACTTCATTGGTGTGCACACTCTATCTCTCTATCCAATCATCTCAAATGGATACAATTGAAGCAGACGAGTTTGCGATGCCCATATGAGACGACTTTCAAGCGGTATTACGCACACAACTTACACAACAAGAAACTTCGACTTCAACAATGTTCACACTGTAACTCTGCCGTCTTGCATCTGACATGCATATAGTTGAAGCAGATACGATGGCAGTGACCTTATAAAACGACTCTGAAGGGTATATAACGAGTTCAATAGGCAAATGAAGTAACATCGACTTCATCGTTGTGCACACTATATATCTCTATCCTATCATCTCACATGATCACTCTTGAGGCAGACAAGTTCACAATGACCATATAGGATGATTTCCAAGAGGGTATAACGCACACAACTTGCAGAACAAGAAACTTCGACTTCGACTATGTTCACACTGTAACTCTGTTAAAGCAGATTCGATGGCAGTGACCGTATAAGACGACTCAGAAGGGTTTATGACGAGTTCAACAGGCATATGAAGTTACATCGACTTCATTGTGCTTACTATATCATTCTATCCTATCATCTCATATGGACAATATTGAAGCAGACAATTTCACATTGACCATATTAGACGACTCCCAAGCTGGCATAACGCACACAGCTTGCAGGTCGCGAACCTTCGACTTCGACTCTGTTTACACTGTAACTACGCCGTCAAGCATCTGAAATGCATACAGTTGAAGCAGATACGATGGCAGTGACCATATTAGACGACTTTGAAGGGTATATAACGAGTACGATAGGCAAATTGAGAATCATCGACTCCATAGTTGTGCACACAATATCTCTCTATTCAATTATCTCACATGGACCCTATTGAAACAAACAAGTTCGCAATGACCAAATGAGACGACTCCCAAGCAGGTATAACGCACACAGCTTGCAGAACAAGGAACTTTGACTTCGACTGTAACTCTGCAGTCTAGCATCTGATATGATCGTAGTGAAGACGACTTTGGAGGGTATATAGCAAGTACAATAGGCAGATGAAGATACATCGACTTCATCACACTCTATCTCTGTATCCTATATGATAACAAGAAATCTCGACCTCGACTATGTTTACACTGTAACTCTGCAGTCTAGCATCTGACATGCATACAGTTGATGCAGGAACGATTGCTGTGACCGTATAAGACGACTTTCATGGGATTATAACGGGTACAATAGGCGAATAAAGATCCATCGACTTCATCGTTGTGCACACTATATCTCTCTATCCTTTCATCTTACATGGACACTATCGAAGCAGAAAAGTTCGCAATGACCATATAAGACGACTCCCAAGCAGGTATAACGCACACTGCTTGCAGAACAAGAAACCTCGACTTCGACTATGTTTACACAGTAACTCTTAAGAATAACATCTGGCATGCATACAGTTTAACAGATACGACTGCAGTGACCATATGAGACGACTTTGGAAGGTATATAGCGAGTAGAACAGGCAAATAGGGATATATCGACTTCATCGTTGATCACACTTTATCTCTCTATCCTTTGATCCTACATGGACACTAATGGAGCAGACGAGTTCACATTGACCATATAAGACAACACCCAGGCGGAAATAACGCTCACAGCTTGCAGATCAAGAAACTCCGACTATGTTAACACTGTAACTCTGCAGTTCAGCATCTGGAATGCATACAGTTGAAGCAGATACGATAGCAGTGACCGTATGAGTAAACTTTGATGGGTATATAACGAGTTCAATGGGCAAATGGAGATACATCGACTTCATCGTTGTGACACCATATCTCTCTATCCAATCTTCTCACATGGACACTATTGAAGCAAACGAGTTCGCAATGACCATATGAGGCGACTTCCTAGCAGGTATAACGCACACAGCTTGCAGGTCAAGAAACTCCGACTATGTTTACACTGTTGGACAGTGTTATGCAACAGAGTTTCAAGCCACACGCATGTCATTTTGAGTAAACAGCGTTTGAAGTTTGAAAGTGAAAGCACATACTTCAATTTAACATCGATTGAGTCTGATGATGATTCTAGTGTTATAGTTACAATTTTTCACAGAATTTGTGTAACTCCAATAGGGAAATTGAGGAAAGATTCATTCATGATGAAAAAATAACAATATTTGATATTGCAAATATCTCTAAGGACGATGTGGAGTCAAAAAGTGTTTTAAGCTTCTTAACATGTTATTGAAAATTCAACTCAAATGTGAAAAAGTTACAGGTGCTGTGTGTTATGTACCTAACATTATATTGCATAAGTCGTGTTCTCACAATATCTCTTTCATATTCTCATGTCAGGTAAGCTGAAACTGTGGTGCAAAATCAGAATCATATTATTGGTATTAATATTTATTGAACAATGGACATCTCCAGAGAAAGAAAATTTGACTTTCCATCGATCTAAACATGTCAAGAAATGTCATATTTCAACACAATAATTATTTGGACACTGAAAATATTCCAATCTCAGGAAGTCGAAAATAGGGAACGAAATGTATTGATACTGTAAAACTCAGGTAACATAATCATTATTCCATTTGGCAATATCCTTTGGCATATAAAAATACTATGAAAAAATACTACCCAGTGATTTTATTCCAAATCAGCTGTCAAATCATTATTTTTTTCAACATCAAAATCGATGGACGCACCAAATCCTTCTGCATCATCCTCAAAATCCCCAGATGTAACAGTTTTCAAAAAATCATGAAAACTTTTCGAATCATTTGGAACCAGTCTCATCATTTCCTTTAAGTCTTTTATTTTCGCAGCTGATAATTCACGACCATCAGGCCATAATAACGGTAACTCGGTATCAAACGTTGTTCTGTTTTTACGACCACCTTTCGATATGTCCACAATTTTTGGGTCATCTCCGAGTCTGCTGTTCATATACAGTTTAAAAGGATCGACTTTTCGTAATTCAATTTCACACGTATTCAACCAAGAAATTTTATTTTTTTCAATATCCAATTTGCGATTGGTGATCAATTTCTGAAGGGGCGATACCGATACAAAATCAGTTTTACTAAGTCTGGTTACTACAAAGGGATTTTTGCGTCGGCAATTTGTCATTACGTGGATGTAGTCCTTATCTGTGTAGAGACGATTATGAGTTTTCAAAGCACATTCAACATCTCCAAACTCAGAATCATTCGGTAAAAAAGTATGACCAGGCTGTAAGAATCGCAAGGTGATAGTTTCTAGAGTGGAATGATTTTGGAGAATATGTTGCAGCATCAAAACCATCTTTATGCTTCGGTTTTGGCCACCACAAGAATCAGCCCAAAGTATCAATCTGGTGGCTGTAGTCTTCAAATGCTCAGAAATGAATTTTCGGAGACATGATCCCACTTCTTGCGTTCCCCGGCTTGCTTCATATTCTAACCAAACGTAAAAAAAACCCTTACCACTGCTGCCACAATGTATTCCCTGATTGAACAAATTCAATTGTCTTTTGTAATAGACGATACTCGTTGGTAGCCGTGGTAAGCTGTGAGTTTTCTCTAGGTCAAAAGTAAGTGTCTCAATGGCTGGATCTGTTTTAGCAAGCTTCAAATCATGTTTCATTTGGTTCCTCAAGGCATGAGCATAATTCAAATGATCATCATGTTGACCCTTCAATATATTCAGGTCATCGCCAAATGTTGACTGAATTTTCACTTTGAAAGTATCGCAACGTAAACAGGTATCTTTCTGTGGCTTCTTGAATCGAAGATTGAAAGAAGTATAAAAGATCTTCTTGAATTTGGACAAGCGTACACCATCTGGATATTTTTGATTATAGAGATTATATAAAATTTGTAAGTTGAGGTTGGGTGATAAAAATTTGGCTGTAGTAGGGTTGCGAGTATAATGCGAAATATATCTGGGCATACTATTGATGAACAATTTAACTTCAGTAAGCTTTTCTTCCTGAATGGAATTCTTTCCACCGGAATTCGTTCCACGTTTATCATTTATTGGTTCATTAGCTCTGAATTTTGACAATGCAAAATCAATTCTGGTTTGGCTGATACCTAATGTTTTGAGGTAGGTATATTTACAAACTTCAACATTCGAAAAATAGTACTGCCTACTGAACTGTCTTTTAGAGTTTGCGGAATAACTTCTCTTCTTTTTCACTTCTTTAACGCTTCCTTGCATCAAAGCACATCTCGCTTCATATGACCCAGCTTGCCAAAACTTGTCAAATTCTGCTCGACGTATTTCTGCGGATATTTTCTCAGTACACTTCCTCCGACAGTCACAGCTGAAATCTGAAAATTCTCTGACAGCAACTTTTTTTCCTTTTGCATTGAAGTGCTCTTGGTTGGTATTTGCTTTCTTCTTTCGAATTTGCCTATTTTGATGGGGATATTTCCTCTTTCTACCTTGTTTAGGCCTACCATCTGTATTCCCATTGGGAGTCTCTTCCTCACTATCACTAGGTCTATTTTCGGGTCTACTAGTGAATCCTGAGTTTCACTGTCGCTATTTTGCCCTTCTTGTTCTTGGTCATTGCCGTCAACATCATCAGTTCTATTTTCACTATTCAGTACAGACATGACATCACCTATTTGAACATGGATTTTAATATCTGGATCTGTAGTTTTTGAGGGCTGCTTTTCTAACTCAGCTTGCTCGGTAATATCTTCGGAAAATTCTGCATCACTACCTGGAGGATGTACGATTGGGGGCATGTCCAGATTTAATGCTGAAGCAGCTTCCAATTCAGTATATATAATTTCATGAGCATTCTCAACAGATACACCTGACGACAATACTGAATTTGGAACATTCCCCAAATCTCCTTGGTTTTCTATTTCCGTTATATCACAATAAAAAAAATAACATTTTCTAATAATGATATGTTTGGTAAGCTGCAGCTCGAAACATCAGAATTCTTTACTATTGCTTGCATGAGCTCTTCGTCGGGTTCAATAATAATGTTCGGAATTCCATAAGGTGTGATGTCTGATAAAGGAGTGCTAGATTTCAGGCTTCTCTTTGTATTTTGTGAATCAGAATGCCCAAGTTCTCCGGCGGGTTTCGTTTTTTTTTTCCAAAATTCTATTAGTTCTGACTTTCAACGAATGAGCACTAACTTTATGGCATTCATTATTTATTTTGGATCGGCATTTGTCAACCATTCGTATGCTTCTTGATTTCAATTCCATTCTGGAATAAAATTTGAAAATTGTGAATTACCATGACAAAAATGTTCGTGGAAGTACGTATAGATACTACCCAAAATAGTCGAGAAAACATTTTTCTAATTAACACGAGATTGACGTTTCATGAATATGCAAAAACGAATTAAATCATTTAGCTTATTTATGTACCTAGAAGTTTTCTACAAACCATGCAGAATGTTTTGCAATAACACGTCAAGTTCCTTGTTGTTTGGCAATTCAATAAAAATAAGCATTAGATTATTTTGCAATAACGAGTTAGGATTATCATTTCCAAAAATTATTAAATCAGAATGATATTAAGACTGGTTGAACATGATAATGATTATAATAGTAGAATAGAAATCAATTTTCAATACTTCGGAACCCTACGTGAGAACCATAATAATTGAATAATGAAAAACGAACCAGAATATAAGGAAGTCATAACCTTACTTCTGAAAATAAGTTGAAAAAGGCCTCGAAAAAGGCTTATACAACAAATACGGACTTACCTATATGGTGGAATCTCGTCTGAGGCGTTGGAATAATCCTTGACCAATTTCCAACTATATTTTTAGCAGTTATTTCCTTTTCAAAACACACCAAACGAATGTAACACTAATAAGAAAATAGGTAGCATGATCCGCTGATCTTTTAGCAAAAACGTGTCAACTCTCATAACATGTTCAAGAAGAGTAGAGATGGCGCCATATGTATTGAAAATCACGTCAAGTCACCTATCTTTTTATTGCGAAATGATCAAAAGGTCTTTGTAGGTTGACATTATCTAAAAATTACAAATTCCAAACTAAAAATGTATTAAATCTCCTGAATTTGTATTGCGAAACGTAGAAAATGCTCCGTGACAATGACTCGCACAGATAATTCGTTTTTTCACTTTTTGTGGATTGACACTGTATTGCATAACAGTGTCCCAACTATGCCGTCGAGCATCTGACATGCATACAGTTGAAGCAGATACGATGGCAGTGACCGTATTAGACGACTTTGAAGGGTATATAACTGGTACGATAGGCAAATTGAGAAACTTCGACTTCATCGTTGTGCACACAATATCTCTCTATCCAATCATCTCACATGGACACTATAGAAGCAAACAAGTTCGCAATGACCATATGAGACGACTTTTAAACAGGTTTAACGCACACAGTTCGCAAGTCAAGAAACTTTGACTTTGACTGTAACTCTGCAGTCCAGCATCTGACATGCATACAGTTGAAACAGATACGATGGCAGTGACCGTATGAGAAGACTTTGAGGGGTATATAACGAGTTCAATAGGCAAATGGGAAAACATCGACTTTATCTTCATACACACTATATCTCTCTATCCTATCATCTCACATGGACACTATCGGAACAGACAAGTTCGCATTGACCATATTAGACGATTTCCAAGCGGGTAAAACGCAAACAGCTTGCAGAACAAGAAACTTCGACATTGACTATGTTTGCAGTTCCCAGAACAAGAATCTTCGACTTTGAATATGTTAACAATTCAACTCTGCAGTTGAAGCAGATACAATGACAGTGACCGTATGAGACGACTTTGAAGGGTTTATAACGGGAACAATAGGCAAATAAAGATACATTTTCTTCATCGTTGTGAACACTTTATATCTCTATCATCTAACCTTGACACTTCTGAGTAGACAAGTTTGCATTGACCATATAAGACGACTTTCAAGCGGGGGAAGAAGTAAAAAACTTGTAGAACGAGAAACTCCTACTTTGACTATGTTTACACTGTAACTCTGCAGTCCAGCATCTGACATGCATACAGTTGAAGCAGATACGATGACAGTGACCGTATTAGACGACTTTGAAGGGTATATAACGAGTACAATAGGCAAATGGGGATACAACGACTTCATCGTCGTGTACACATATATCTCTATCCTATCATTTCACATGGACACTATTGAAGCAGACAACTTCGCAATGACCAAACGAGACGACTTTCAAGCAAGTATAACGCACACAGCTTGCAGAACAAGAAACTTCGACGTCGACTATGATCACACATTCACTCTGCAGTCTAGCATCTGACATGCATACAGTTGGAGCTGATATTATCGTAGTAACCATAAAAGATGACTTTGAAGGGTATATCAAAAAAACAATAGGCAGATGAAGATACATCGACTTCATCGGAGTGCACACTCTATCCCTCTATCCTATCATCTCACATGGATACTATTGAATCAGACGAGTTTGCAATGTCCAAATGGGACGACGTTCAAGCGGGTATAACGCACACAACTTGCAGAACAAGAAACTCCGAATTTGACTATGTTCACACTGTAACTCTGCAAACTTGAATCTGACATGCATACAGTTGATGCAGATACGATTGCAATGACCATTTGAGACGACTCTGGAGGATATATAGCGACTAAAATAGGCAAATGGAGATACATCGACTTCATCATCGTACACACTATATCTTTCTATCATATCATCTCACATATACACTATCGAAGCAGACAAGTTTTCATTGTCCATATAAGACGACTTTCATGCGGGAATAACGCACACAGCTTGCAGAACAAGAAACTTCGACTTTGACTATGTTTACACTGTAACTCTGCAGTCTTGAATCTGGCATGCATACAGATGATGCAGATACGATTGCAAAGACCATATGAGACGACTCTGGAAGTATATAGCGAGTACAACAGGCAAATGGGGAAACATCGACTTCATCGTCGTTCACACTATATCTCTCTATCCTATCATCTCACATGGACACTTTCGGAGCAGACAAGTTCGCATTGACCATATAAGACGATTTCCAAGCGGGTATAACGCACACAGCTTGCAGAACAAGGAACTTCGACTTTGACTCTGCAGTCTAGCATCTGACATGCATACAATTGGAGCAGATACGATTGCAACAGGCAAATGGGGATACATCGACTTCATCGTCGTACACACTATATCTCTCGATCCTATCATCTCACATGGACACTTTTGAAGCTGGCAAGTTCACATTGACCATATAAGACGATTTCCATGCAGGTATAACGCACACAGTGACCGTATGAGTAAGATAAGATTAGCCGTTTCCGACTCTCCGCCCGAGGTCACTCTCCTCTGACCTTGGGCGGAGTGACCTCGGAGCAGGAGTGACCTTGGAGCAGGAGTGACCTTGGGCGGGAGTGACCTTGAGTAGGAGTGACCTTGATGCAGAAGTGGCGTTGGACGGAAGTGACCTTGGAACAGGAGTGGCCTTGGCAGGAAGTGACCTTGGGCGGAGTGACCTTGGGGCAATAGTTGCCTTGAGGCAAGAGTGGCATTGGGCAAAAGCGACCTTGGGTGGGAGTGAACCTCCGCATGTGCGTCCTTGAGAGTGAGTGACATTGAGTTGTAGAGAGAGTGAGGCCTTGAAAG